CCCCCTGAACGGCCCAGGGGCTATTTTAGGGCTAAGGCTCACAGCAAACAGAATGGACGGGAGGACCCAGCTTTCCAATCCAGCTGCCTGTGCAGATCAAGATTCATTTACTCAACATCATCTTCCTCCTTAGGGCAGAAGATTTTTGGGCAAGTAGATTCAGTTGCCTCCCTGGGGACAGTCGTGTCACTAATAATCCCAAATATAGTTTCTTTCTTATGCTAAGCCTGGACGTCTTCTGTTGTGAGGACTCCCGAGGGATGGCCAATAGCTCCTAGAGAGGTGCATGATGATTCCCTTTAGAGATTAGCTGAAGGGCAGTCTTCAGCCACAGATGGGCCAACGTCCACACCTGCTGTGGGCTCCACTGGGCCAGTCTCTCCCAAGATGATCATCTATACACTTAATGAGATAAGCCCATCTTTCTCTCTCATCAATGATTTAAACTAAATAAGAAAATGATATTTTGGATTCGAGAACTATGGTTTTTGTGACATTAAATTCAAAGACAAAGGAATAGGTTATATAGGAAATTATTTCCTTTTTCCAGAACAGAGGAAGAACAAACACGGCCCCTCCCCTGGTCACATTCATCCGGTGCACGGTGACAAATCCTCTCCAGCAAATGCAAAAGGATATTTGAAAGGAGAGTGACTTCCTCAGCCCCTGCAGGAGACGAGTCGGAATTGCTTCTTCTCTGGTGTGTGTTTCAGTGAATGGATGTGTCCAATGCCTTCATTTCTCTGTTCTGAGTCTGGTTCCCTGCGGAGAGGTCAGACTCACAGCCAGGCTCCCACGGGCGTGGACGGGTGGCCGACGGGGCTCGTCCTAGACGGAAGCGTCCCGGGAGAGGAGGTGACACGCCTCACACGTGCTCATGCATTCACAATTCACAATGTGCCCAGATTTTCTGCTGGCACTCAAGAATGAGAAGGCAGAGACTGGACAGATCTTCACAGCACAAACTCGGCATCGAAAGAAAAGTTTCAGCCGTGGGCAAGGTTACTGGGGAAACAGGGTAGAAGGAGCCCTTTGAGGGCGACAGGGCTGGAGTTCCTCTTCTCCATGGTTGGAGAGGCCCTGCCCTCCTTCCGGTTGAATTCAGGACCTGGCAGGTCACCTGAATGCTTTCCTGCCAAGGAATGCCGGGCTCTCCAGACACAGGTCAAACACTCTTTCTTTTTTACAATGATCTCAGGACAAGGTTTAACAACATCAACTAAAATGCATCCCATAAAACCATAGTTTGTTTTGTTTTTACCAGAGTTGCAGTTTACCAGTACTTGTGCATCAGATGACTTTTATCCGCTCCGACCCATAACCACGTGGCAGAGAACGAAAACGTTCCAATTAGTAGGAAGCAGTGTGACCAAGGGGTCTAGACGCGATCCCCCCACCACGGATCTGGGTGCACCTACCATCTCTGCCTTCTCATGGACTTGGGTCCTGTGTGTGAGACACGGTTCTAGCTCTTTACGTCTTTCTAACCACACTATGAAGTAGGCACGGCCATCACCCTCAGTTCACAGACAGGAAACCGGCTCAGAGAGGTGCGTACATCTGCTCGAGGTCACTCAGCAAGTAAGTGCAGGACGGGATGCGGTCCTGGCATTACCGCCCTCCACCCCTCTGCCCGGTGCTCCTCCACCTGGGGCTTCTCACGAGCTCCCCTTCTCCTGGCTCACACTCGCCATCGTCCACGTTCCAGCAAACCTCTCTCCCCTTCCGATGAGCTCTGCCATATACCTCTCTTTCTCGGTTTGCCGCTTCCTTGGCTAATGCTGATCTCTTCGGCTGCACTAAAGGCCCCATGAGAGTGAGGACCATGGTTCTGCTCCACTGTGTCGCCAGAGCCTAGAAAGCACTGGGGAACCCCATGTAGGTGTGTATTATTTCTAGATTACATACCGTATCATCCCTCTCCTTCCTAACTAACGGGTCCTTAAGATCTGCTGAGAGGGGTGAGAAATAGGGCTGGAGGCAATGGAGGAAGGCAGGCCAGGCACCACACCTCCCTCAAGCTGGCTCGTCCTTTACTGAAGACCTCCGCAGCCGACCCTGGAGGCTGGCTAATAAGACAACCGTTCCCAGTCTGCTATTCCTTGTACCCCAATCCGTCTTCCCACCTTCCTTTTAGTAAGAAGTGCCATGTGACAGTTTCTAGCCAGCCTGGGAAGTCCCAGGGTTTTGGGAAAGCTTTGCATTCTTGATAAGAGAGACAGATGCAGCTGCCCTCATCCATTTCCTCCTTTCAACTGAATGTGATGCCTGGAGCTGTGGCAGCCACTTTGTGATCACAAGGCCCCACTCAGGGGGATGAAAAGGCAATGAACTAAGGATGGTAAACTAAAAAGATAAGCAGATCTGGGCTTTTGATAACTATGGTTCGGCTGCCGAGTCAATGCTTACAACCCTCTACTGCCATGTGACTTGTTACTACAAGAAAAATAAACTGCAGTTTGAAAAATTAAATTGTTGGGTTAAATAATTTTCAGTTACTTAAGTGTTCTGGTACTTTGCAACTAAAAGTAATTCTTTGGGATATACCTCTCTCATGAGCAAATCTCTGTGGGTTAAGACCAGCTAAGCTGCACTGCAGGCTGGCCCTGGACAGGGAGGGATTATTTTGGTGTTACTCCCACATGGACGGAGACATCAATGATAGATAATTAATTCATGATCAGGAGAGTCAGATCAGAAATAGGCAAACAATTATGATCTTTGTGTGGCTTTTCGAACTGAACTGAGGGACACATTTACTGTTTGGTTCTATGCCTTAAAATGCGCTCTCATTAAGAAGTGCTGCCCGCCTCCTCCCCAGAAAGCACAGTGATGAAGGGGAGGGTCTGCTCTCTCGGGGAGGCCCCCAGCCCAGGTTACACGGGATCTGATAAAAGTGCAACAAGACAGCAATTCCAGGAGGGAGGGGCAGACGCAGGCCCTTTATTCCCCGTCTGTGTTCCTGGGGCCAAGTTCTCCTGCTGTCCTCGTGACCCCCACCCACAGGACAGGGTGGCTCCATGGTGAGAGGAGGGCCTTGCCCTGTGGCGGATACTGGGAGACTGTCGATGTGGAGAGAGGACGGGTCTTTCTGGCCCTGCTGAGCTGCTGTTTGTGCAGGCACACGGGGCCGGGGATCCCGCAAGGGGAGTTCCCAAGGAAAGGGCATGGTGCAGGCACCTGCAGAAGCCGTGTCTCTCAGAATCGGGGCCCGGGCCGTGCCTCGGTCAGAGCCAGGACAAGGAGGGCCCATGACGACTTTTGGCTGGTGTTTTTAGGTCCCAGCTGGGACTTTGCTGAGGTGCCCAGTAACAACAAGGTGGAGGAACTTCTGTTTCGCTCTCGACGTTCCTCCAGATCTCAAACCAAACCCACACATGCCACATCAGCCCCTGCATGTCAGCATGGAGCAAAACCCACTGTGGAGACCGCTGTGCACCCCATTCTGGACCTCAGGGCTCCATGCCGTCCCCACTGGCCCCTGGTGGCTTGGCAGCCCAGTGACCAGAGCTGCCGTCTGGGGAGGCCTCTAGCTAGAGTGAGCAGTCCGGGCCTTCAGGGTCCGGACTGTGGGGCTCTGTTTGGGGCAGTTATCACACTGACTGGTTTTAATCAGTGTCATTTGACAACAGTCATTTTAACAGATACCATCCAGGGGCCTATGTGAGGTTGGTGTCAGGAGCTGGGCCCATGGGGCTCTCCCCACATCCCCTTGCAGACACCTGCTCTGGTATAAAATGGGTACAGGTTCCACCATGGGATACGTTTACACTCTGTAGCAACTCATCTATGCAACTAGACAGATCCTGGGCATCTCTCCAGCTAGGGATTACAGAACAGTGGGTCTCATGGGGGTGGGTCGGGGGATCGTCCCCAGGGGCAAGTCTAGACACAGTTTGGTTTGCTACGGCAGGGGGAGGGAGGCATCTAGGGAGAGGGCAGGGATGCCGCTAGACATCCTACAGTGCAAGATGGTCCTCCACAGGAAAGAACTGCCCAGCCGAGATGTCACCTGCGCCCTGGTGGAGACACCTGGTGACAGCTTAACTCATTTATTTATTTACTTCTATTTCTATATTTTTAAAGATTTATTCACTTATTTATTTGAGAGAGAGGGAGATTCCAGGTCTTTGCTAAACAGAAAGATTACCAGCAAGCATTTTTTATACATGTAACTTACATGCTGGATAGACTTCTAGAAGTAAAATTTCTTGGTAGAGGGTTGTGTACAGTTTAAAATATTGATGGGTTTTGCCAAAGTGTTAAAATGGTGCACCATCTGCTCTCCTGACGACAACGACGGGGACTAGGAGGGCCCGCGCCTTCCGTTCTGCTATCTGGTGTTTGCCACCGCGTGGGCAGAAACGTGGCGCCTTGTTTCATTGTTCTCCAGCCCCCCATGCAGCCCGCGCTGTATGGGGCACCTGCTCCCGCCCTGATGGAGCCACCTCACCACTGACCTCGCGTCACTACGCTGGGCACGCGCACCAGTGCCCGTGACAATGAGGAGTGAGAACTCCGAGTGGACAAGGACGATTCAGCAGCTGTGTGACTTGTGGGAGGTCTACACGACCATTCGTTTGTAGAAGCAACTAGGGGAAACCCTTTGTAAAGAATTATTCTGAAAATGGGTTAGTACTTAGTGAACATCCATGTAAATCTTGATATTAATATATGTTGAGATTTATTAATTTAAGAGGGATTAAATAAGAAGCAGCTTTCAGCTCTTCTGTCCTTAGTTTATGGGGTTCTAAAAGGGAAGTAAAGTGAGTAGGAAAGTGTTACCCTTTTGTGTGTAAGCACTGACTTTCAGAAAATAGCTTACAAGACTTGGCCAGCGACTGCGTTTTGGAGAACCTTATCGCAGGGACGCGGGAGAATATTTGCACCCGTTTCAGGACCTTCGCTTTCAGGGAACTTGGACAAACGTGTAGCCAGACAAGAGTGGAGCGGGGCGGGCAGGCAGCCCAGGCGGTCTGCGGGGTGCGTGGTACTCTTACCCAGTCGGTTGCACGGGTTCCGTTTGAAGAGGGCTCTCAGCAGACTCTGGGCTTCCATGCTGAGGAACTGTGGCATGCCCAGCTTGGCTCTGCAAAACAGCATTGTAGTTTGGGACGAGAAGGATATAACCAGAGTTTTCTCCAGCACTTTGGGACCCTGCTCGGTCAGCATCAACAGACAGACCAAATCAACGTGACCCAGAGCAGCAGTGCCCAAACTGTTTGGTCTTAGGGCTCTTTGGCACTTTAGAAGTCATTGAGGACATCAACCTACATTATTTATATGGGTTCTATGGGAGAAATTTTTATAATAGCTATTTAATAATTCACTTACAAATAATACAAACGTTAAAAATAAACAATAAAAATCCCATGAACAGAAGTAACATTTTTAATGGAACTGAATTATGTTTTCCAAAATAACAACAAAGGCTTTGGCTAGAAGAGTGCTATTGTTTACATTTTGGGAGTCTCTTCTGGGTTAGATGAGAGACAGCCAGATACCTTTTTAAATTTTTTTTAAGATTGATTTATTTATTTGAGAGAGAGAGAGGGAGTGTGCATGTGTGTGGGGGACAGGGAGGGGCAGAGGGAGAGGGAGAGAGAAACTTTAGCAGATTCAGGACTGAGTGCAGAGCCCGATGCAGGACTTAATCCCAGGACTCTGAGATCATGACCTGAGCCAAAACCAGAGAGTCCACCATTCAACCAACTGAGCCACCCAGGCGCCCCGACAGCCAGATCCTCTTAACTTGCCTCTGTGTTCAATATGTTGCCATACTATGAAGAAAATCTGGGACTTCACAGAACTAGAACAAATAATCCTAAAATTTGTGCGAAACCACAAAAGACCTCACGTTGCCAAAACAATCTTTAAAAAGAAGAACAAAGCTGGAGACATCACAATTCCAGATTTCAAGTTATATTACAAAGCAATAATGATCAAGACAGTATGGTACTGGCACAAAAATAGACACAAAGATCAATGGAATAGAAAACCCAGAAATAAACCCCCAATTATATGGTCAACTAATCTTCGACAAAGCAGGAAAGAATATCCAATGGGAAAAAGACAGTCTCTTCAACAAATGGTGTTGGGAAAACTGGACAGCACCATGCAGAAGAATGAAACTGGACCATTTTCTTATACCATACACAAAAATAAACTCAAAACGGATGAAAGACCTAAATGTAAGACCTGAAACCATAAAAATCCTTGAAGAGAGCACAGGCAGTAAGGTCTGACACCGGCCCTAGCAACATTTTCCTAGATGTGTCTCCTAAGGCAAGGGAAATAAAAGCAAAAATAAACTATTAGGTCTACCTCAAAATAAAAATCTTCTGCACAGCAAAGGAAAGAATCAATAAAGCTAAAAGGCAAACTACTGAATGGGAGAAGACATCTTTAATTGACATAGCTGATAAAGGGTTAGTATCCAAAATATATAAAGAACAGATACAACTCAACATCCCTCCAAACAAATAATCCAATTTAAAAAATGGGCAGAAGATATGAACAGACATTTCTCCAAAGAAGAAACCCAGATGGTGGACAGACACATGAAAAGATGCTCAACATCACTCATCATCAGGGAAATGAAATCAAAACTACAATGAGATGTCACCTCACACTTGTCAGAAAGACTAAAACCCAAAACATAAGAAACAACAAGTGTTGGCAAGGATGTGGAGGATGTGGAGAAAGGGGAACCCTCCTACACTGTTGGTGGGAATGCAAACTGGTCTGGCCACTTTAGAAAACAGTATGGAGGTTCCTCAGAAAGTTAAAAATAGAACTGCCCTATGATCCAACAATGACACTACTAGGTATTTACCCAAAGAATACAAAAACACTAATTCAAAGGGATATATGTACCCCTATGTTTATAGTGGCATTATCTATAGTAGCCAAACTATGGAAGCAGCCCAAGTGTCCACTGACTGACGAATGGATGACGAAGATGTGGTCTATATATACAACAGAATATTAGTCATAAAAAAGAAAGAAATCTTGCCATTTGCAAAGACTTGGATGGTGCTAGAGAGTACTATGCTGAGTGAGATAAGTCAGAGAAAGATAAATACTATATCACTTCACTCGTATGTAGAATTTAAGAAATGAAACAAATGAGCAAAGAAAAAGAGAGAGAGACAAACCAAAAAACAGACTCTTAACTATAGAGGACAAACTGATGGTTAGCAGAGGGGAGGTGGGTGGGGGGGGGGGGGAAATAGGTGAAGGGGATTAAAGAGGGTACTTATCAGGATGAAAAAAAATACAAAATGAAAATAAAATAAAATCCAGTAATCTAATTTATCCAAATAACTGCAAAAAAAAAAAAAAAAATCAGGGAAAGGAGGAGCTTGCAGCCCCCAGGAGGGTCTCAGACCCCCAGGGGTCCTCAGATCATGCTTTAGGATCCATCGGACCACAGTTTGGTGCTACCCATTCAGAAGTCCACACCTAGGATTAGCTGGAGGGAATTATTCTAGTTTTAGAAAAAGTAAAGATCTTGATCCTTCTTAAAATTAAGAGAAACAGAGATAACCAATACAAAATAATAGACTGCAGCCACACACGTCGGCCACCACGAAGGTCACCTGATACCAGAAGACACTGCTCAAATCCTCTCTATGGGTTTCCTCCACTAATTTCTATCCTTCCATTTATACAATGGGGTAACCTACAAAAACCTAAGCTTTTTAGGTTCCTCTCGCTTTTATAAAAGTCCATCTGCAGTGTTGAGAGAGCTGGTCATGAGGACCAGCAGCTTTATGGCCTGACCCTCAGGTGCAGGAGTCCCTGTCCTCGCACAGTAGGGGGACCTCAATTTGGAGCTGGGGTCTACCTGTTCCCCAGCCGCTGCCCTACTCCCATCCACACTCCGGAGTCCCAGATCTCTCCCTTCTGACATCATGCTTAGATGGAGCCTGCTCACGTGTGAGGTGTTATAGCAAGACCAGCACTGGGTTTAGACTTCTTTCTAGGCTCCTAAGAGCAAAATCCATTTGCATGGTAAATGATTCTTCCCGAGAATTGAACAGAAAATTTGTTTGTATTCAATCTCATGGGCAACATGATTCCTGCCAACATCAGGCAGGAGAGCTTGGGTACTGCACGAATGGGGTCAAGAGTTAGAGAAAGAAAGGGGACGCCTCCTCCTGCGTTCTCTCTGGAGGCCCTAAATCCTTCTGCCCTTCCGAATCTGTACTTTGTTTGTGATGGTCACTAATCACCACTTCTAAAATCCCTGTCATTGGACAACATACGCAATTTTCCATGTCATCTGTGGTAGAAGACTTCATCAGGGTCACTCAGCGATCCATTCACTCTATCCACTGTAATTAAAATGCCAAGAATGCTTCTTATGGTTACTGCTAATGCCTACTCAACGATCTGGGTATCCAAGATGGAAGCTCTTGCTATCAGAAGGTGCTAAGGAGTACTGGACGGATGCCCAAGGGTCAGTGTTTCATACTCACTTGAGGATGAGGGCCATGGTCTCCTTCCTGTCCTTCCCCTGGAATGGCAGAGATCCCGTGAGCATCTCAAACTGCAGAGCAACACAGAACAGGGAGAGTGTTCAGACTGACAGGATGTAAGAGCAGAGAGCCCGGATGGGCAAAATGCAGCCACGTTCATTAATCCATTCCAAACCCTGATGCATGCAGCATAGGTGCCGGCCAGCATGTGCTGTGTACATGAGCGACCGGAACAGCCTCATGGAGCTCACGGTTCAGTGGGCGGCGGACAAGGGACGAACACTGGAAGTCTGCCGTGGGAAAGAGGGGCTGAGGTGGTGGAGATGCGAAGGGGGACATGGAGGGGCGGCGGTTGGGCTGCACAGCTTCTACGGGGTTGGTTGAGGACCCGGCCTTCCCTGGTGGGCGCTGTGGAGGGGACCAGGGCAGAATGACTTCAGTCCATCCGTAACATCTGGTGAAGGCACGAGGGCACCAATAACATTTCCAATACAGGCTGCCACACACCTAAAACAGTAAGCGGACCTTTGCCAGGACAGGCTCTGTGATAAAGACGGGATTGAGGCTCAGCCTTCCCTGGGCAAGGATTTCTCTCTCACACAAAAGCCCTGACGACGCGGGCTCAGGAGGCAGGGCCGGCAATCACACGGCATCCCCACCACAACGGGCACACCGACCCACTCGGAAGAAAGCAGCTAGGGCAGCAGCCCGTCCTTGACCACAGGACACCGAATCTAACCGAAATGGGCCACAGCATCCACCCCGGGCCGTGTCTTCGTGTCACTTCAAATTACTATTGAGCCTTGAATGACACAGGTATGAACAGCACGGGTGTGAGATACCCACTACATGTATGGGTCTTTTCCCAATAAATACGGTACTATACTGTAAATGTATTTTCTCTTACGATTTTCTTAACGACCGTTGCTTTTCTCAAGCTTACTTTATTGTAAGAATACGGTATGTGATACATATAATGTACAAAATGCAGATTAATATACTGTTTATGTTATCATAAGGCTTCTGATCAACACCAGGCTACTACCAGTTAATTTTGAGGGGAGTCAAAAGTCACATGTGGATTTTCGACGACCTTCAGGTCAGCGCCCCTTATCCCCATGTTGTTCAAGGGTCTACCGTATAAGAAAACAGCCTCAGTCCAGGAATTTGTATGATCTTATTAAATCTGCCTTAGTTTTGATTTTGACGGCATGTCTCTGTCCCTTTAAAATTTATCCTATTGTATTTTTCCTCTGCATTATGAAAATCTTGGGAAATACATCAAAATAGAAAGACCAGAACAATCACCCATAATCCCATTATTCAAAGAAAGATGGAATTAACATTTGTTATTTCCTTCTAGTACTTTCTTGAAGCTGTTTTTTTTTAAAAAAACATGGTTTTATATAGTCACCTTTCACAGAATAAGATAAAAACTTCCATGCTGATTATAAAATCTTCCTAATATCAGTTTATATGTGGATATGCCAAAATATGTTCATTTGTTGTTGGACACTTAGAGCATTTCCAATTTCCTGCTATTATAAGTAATACTGAAATGTACATAAAAGCTTTCCTAAGATTTGAAGTTATCCTTATGACGTGCTACCAGGAATGAAATTACAAACATAATGAAATGAATGTAGTTAAGGCTTTATTAATATTCTTGGTTTGCTTTCTGAAAGTAAAATTTTAAAAGAAATTTAAAAATTCCTGCCTGTTGTGATGTTTGAAGGCTGTTCTACCATACCAACCAGCACTTGCTGTCTGTCCCACGCTCACTCGTTTGGTGCGGGCACACAGACCAGACTGCAGGCGACCAGTCAAGACGTAAGTCATAAAAACTGGGAGTAAGAGAGTCCCTGAGAGAATCTGAAGGTGCATAACCAACTAAATTGAAAGGTAGAATGCTCCGGCAGATGAGCTGTCCATCTGATAAAATAGGAGGAAAGTTTATAAGTTGATCCTAAAAGTTAAAATATGTCTTAAAATAGAATCATATTAGCAAAGAAAATTCTCTTCCTATTTTGGTTCTTTTTTTCCCCTCCCTCCTTTCTTTCTTGAGTCTACTATGAATGAAATTCAATTTCAAGGAAACGCCTTTTAGGCCACGTGAAACCAGAAAGCTATTAGTCATTGCTACAAAAATGAAGCCCATCCTAAAGTCTGTGTGTCATGTAACTATCTATTATGAATCAACCAGCAACTTGCACACATCTGCCTGGTGATTACTTCTTAGCTTTGACTATGACTCCCAGGAGCCACATCCTCTGTGTTTCTCTCCCTCCAGCCTGCTCATCTTCCTCCTACATTGTTCTTCCCCATGCAACACAGTGGGAAATCCTGAACCATTTAGGAACACCCAACACACGTACGGTGGCGTACATGGGTGTTCAATGAATGAAGATGATGATGGTGGTGGTGATGATGGCAAAGCTATGTATTTTCTCAACCCACATGTGTCTCTCTGCTTTGGCTTCACTTTCAGCCCCTTTAAGGGTTCCCTTTCTATCACACGGGGACAAAGGAAGTCATTTCAGTATTACTGTTCTCATCAAGAAATTTCTCAGTATTTAAGTATCTCATTAAATCAGGGCATTTCTGATGAACTTTCCTGGGACATTATATACAGTAGGAGTTTGGTCTGGTGTTGAACAGGACTGAGACTGGCCAAGGTTTCCAGGGCAAACTAATATAAACCATGGTTTGCCGTGGGGTCTCATAGTCCAGCACAAGTGCTGGGGGTACCCCAAGGGATGCATTCACAAGTGAGCTCCAAGGTCGGCTGTGGATATGTGCAGAGGGAACCTGAAGAGACTCGGGTATAGCTTCACTGTGAGTAGTTATGAAATTTCCAGAAAGATAAATATTTTGATGTGTCTGGGGACAGTTTTGATGGTCAGGACTGGAGAGGTTGGTGGGGTTGGTGCCACTGGCGTTTACTGAGTAGAGGGAGGGATGCCACTTCCCATCCTACAATGCATAGGACAGCCTCTACCCAAAGAATTGTCCAGCTCCAAACCTCAACAGTTGAAAGCCCTGTCTAAAGGGACATCCAATGAACCTGAAGAGTGGCCAGCCCTAGGGCACTGACACAGAAGGAGCCCCAGTGGTGCTGGGAGCAGTGGAATGAGAAGCTTCTCTGTAAGGGAGACACTTCATAGCAGGAAGCCTACAATTCAAGTTCATTCAGTTGATCAACATTCTTACAAAAGAACTCAAGAGCAAGTTACATCTTAATCTGAAAGCAGACAAGCACAAATCCTACAACGAAGTGGACTGTTTGAGATGGCAGCAGTCCCCGGGGCCGGGTGCGCAGGGCTGGATTTTTCTCACCAGGTGTATTTATGTTTGTGCACAGGTGTCAGGGTGCTTGGGGCACAGACGAGTCCTCACCTCACTGTGCACCACCCCCGCTCTGAGCACTCGAAGGTCGATGCTGATCTGCTCCTCTCAGCAGCCTCAGGAGGAAGCCTCGGGTCTTTGTGTCCTTTCCCAGGGGCGGCGCCTGAGCCCTGAGCCAGCTATATGTGTGCGGCTGTGTACAAACAATTTACACAGACACTTGCGTGTGAACATCTACACACGTTTAGTGCTGGCAAAGAATGGGAGAAGAATCTCAGGTGGTCTCACAGGCGACCTGGCATCCAGGAGATGTTTCTAAAGCACCCACAAAACACAAACCCAATGTCCTCCTGAAGACTGAGCTCCAGGCGAGTGTGGAGATGTTAGGGATCTACCATTGCAACGGACACCGCCACTACGGCTTACGTTCTTTTCCAGTTATAAGTACCTAACTTCAGACATTCGATTCTGTTCAAGGACAAGGATCTCCACCATGAACATAGGTGTCTTCATACGAGCTCTCTGGAGGGCACTTGGGGATCATGAGAGGGCACGGGTGTAGTTCCTCAGTGGAGAAATGCAAGGGATGGGCAGCAAGCCCCTGCAGGGTGCAGACCGTTCCTCAGGCCGCTCCCTCCATGGCTCTGCCCCCTCTTTAACAAAGCCGGTGCAGGGCACCTTGTAAATACAACATGCCCTCAACTGACCTCTTCCCGAAGCCGAGCTCAGACACAACACTAAATGCCACACCAGACCCATCCTTCTATTGTAAATGGTAATTTGGAAGTCATTCCTGGTGTTGCCCAAGGAAGTGCTGAATGCAGGGATCCTGACATCTGGCTGCAAGCTGGTTGCTACTTGGGGCCAAAGGGTTTGGTGGGCAGGACGAAATGAGAATATGGCTTTAGAACAATGATGTGATCTTAAACCAATCACCGAAGAGCCTTATTTCCACTTCTGTAACCAGAAAGAACGGTATCTTTCCCATGTAACGTGGAGATTTTTTGGTTCAGATGAAACGCGAAGGTGCCTCATAAACTTGGAGCCACTAGACGTACTCTGTTGTCATCGACAGCCCCTCCTGCTTCCTACCGCTGAGTAAAACAGCCATGCTAGAACCAGCACCGCGCGCTCCCCCAGCTGCTGTGAGACACTGAATGCGGGGTCCTTTCAACTGAAATGATGCCACCAGTTCAAAGCAATGCTCAGTGCCCACAGTCCCTGGTGTGTCAATGATGCCAGATAGTAGCTGGAACCAGGTCTCCTTTAGAGAAGCCAAGAGCCAACCTCTATGATATTCCCCAAACTCCAGAGCATTCCTATAGCTTCGGGACAAGGAAGGGCAGGGGACCCCAGGTAGAGGTTAGGCTGGGGAGCCCACAGCTGTGTCGCCCCCACAGGGCACAGAGCTCACTGAGCACGGCCGCTGCTGTCTGTGATGGGAGTCCACGCAGAAGGTCGTGGGGGTGCTGAGGAAATGCCCCGTGCTGGGGAGACATTCTGAGGGGGGGAATTCACAACATAAGATGACAGACTTATAAGAGCAACTTGTCAAAGTGCCAAGAAGACACAAGACAGAGCCAAGCTAAGGTTCCCCAGGAGACACCTCTGAACCCCACCTCCAGACATGGCCCAGGGCTTCTGCAGCCAGGAAGTGAGGCAAGTGATTTGGTGGCAAGGCACGTGGCCTGGACACACAGAAGCTGGGCTTGGGATGCATAGGAGCTGGGCTTGGGATGTGTAGGAGCTGGGCTGGAGACGCAGGGAGCTGGGCTTGGGATGTACGGGAGCTGGGCTGGGGATGCAGGGAGCTGGGCTGGGGATGTACGGGAGCTGGGCTGGGGATGCACAGAGCTGGGCTTGGGATGCTTGGGAGCTGGGCTGGGGACGCAGGGAGCTGGGCTGGGGATGTACGGGAGCTGGGCTGGGGATGCACAGAGCTGGGCTTGGGATGCTTGGGAGCTGGGCTGGGGATGCAGGGAGCTGGGCTGGGGATG